TCGCCGTAGGCGTCTTCGATAGAAACACATGGAATTGCGAAATTACGGTTAAAAATACGGCGCGCGCGTTTTTTGTTGTTGCGAAGTCTTCATAAAAGCGTTGTTATTTCAACATTATCGCCACATGCGAACAAGCGGACTCCTCGCGTGCGCCGGTTGATAATTCGAACGCTATTGCGCGCGTGGTGTGTGTGTGTGTGTGTTGTGTGTGTGTGGGGGGAGTCGCGCCACGCGTGTCGAAATCCTTCCAAACCCTTGACCGCCGAAGCGTGGGCACCATCATCGCCATCAGCACGATCCATTGGCCTTGACGTCGTCATCGTCATCGCCATCGTCGTCGCCCGCATTGATGCAATGATCACCGTGTCTGCCGTTGCCGACGTCGCCATGATACCGCGCCCGCCCGAGTCGCCGACTCGCACTGAAGTGCCCGCGCGTCAGCGCGGCCTGCGGGGCGCGCTGCGAGGTCTCCAGCGGACAGCGCCACCGCGGCCGCGTCGGTTGTGCCAGACGAACTGGCCGCTCTGCGCGCGCGAGCCTGCGAGCGCTAGCGCGGCCGCAGCGACGCGCCAGCTAGCGCCAAGCAATCACCGCAATCGCCGCCGCATGGGTTTTGCAAACCAAGTTGCGGGCAGGTGGGTGGAATGATTGCGCGAGCAGTGGAGCTGCAAACTTCAAGTTTGGCAGGGTGAATTGCACCGCATATATTGCACCGCGTATAGTGTACCACGTAGATTGCTTCGCGTAGATTGCTTCGCACATGTTGCACCACGCCGATTGCACCGCATGTGTTGCACCACATCGATTGCACTGCGTTGTTACTGACCGCACTCGCGACGGAGAAAATCTGCCCAAGGAGCGGCCGTGCCACCCCGAGCCCTCCGACCTCAGACATGCGGCGTCCTGATTGCTCAATGCGGGGCCCTGGAAGTCCCGACCTTTTCCCCGCGGCCGGCTTTTCATCCTAAGTCGCGTTTCGACGGTCCTGAGGCCCGGGCAGGGCACCCCGAGGCCGACAACTGACAGAAACCTCCCGTCCTGATCTTTTTACGACGCGATCATGCCCGGGAACGCCGCAAGGAGCCCCCTGAGACCCTGGAGCAGGATGAGGGACACGCCCCACGACTCCACGGACACCTCGTCCGGGCGGCACGGCCGCGGCCCGCCGCTGCAGGCGCGCCGCGCCACCTGGGCATCCGTGGCCAGGACCGCGTTCACGGCCCCGGGCACGCCGAAGAGAAACGCCTGGGCCTGGTCCAGGTCGAGGCATTACCCGCGACCGACGCCGTTCAGGACCTTGCCGGAGTCGAGGCCGCAACTCAGCGTCCGCGCAGCATCCTGCCCCCGGCAGGCGGCCGCAGGGGCTGGCGCCGCCGCGCCAGCAGCCGCGCCCGCAGGAGCCGCCGCCGCCGCCTTCGGAGGCCGGCCAGGACCAGCCACGTCATACGGGCCCAGTACTCGCGCCCACGGCCGCCTCGCTACCCGCCGTCGCGAGTTTGTTATCGCAGGTTCGTCCTTCAGCTCCCCGTCCACGCCGTCGTCCAGCGCGCTCCCTTCGCCGCGCTCGCCCGCGCAGGCGCGTTTCCGCCCGCGCCGATTCGCGCGCTTGCGCTGGCGGCGAGGCCGCCGAGCTTCGCGCGGCGCCTCCACCGGCTCCTCCGCCGGAACACCAGGGTGCCGCCCCGCCAAAACCCCACCCGCCGCCACCTCCTCAACGGGCTCCTCGGCCGCCGCGCCGGGCCGGCCCGCCGCGGGCTCGCGCGCCGCGGCGCTCGTCGCCGCCGCCGCCCGCGCGATCCTCCGAAAGGGCCCTCGCGAGGATCGCGGCGCGGACTGCGGCGCCCAGCAGCGCCGCAGGGCCCGCGCCGACCGTCGCCCCTCCGTTTCCCAAGCGCGGAACTCAGAGAACCAATCGCTTGGGCCCGAATCAAAATACATGATCCTTTTCTTTTTTTGTGTTAAACCAAAAATGAAATCTCCCCCCCTCCTCCCCCGGGTTAGCGGCCTCCCTTTTCGCGTTGCAAGTGACATTTGAATTCGAAACATCCCAGCTAAACCTGCACCGACCCCACCCCCGCCACCGTCTGCGAAAGAAATCTGCGCGCGCACTCGTTTATCCCAAAACGACCCTTTGAAAACAAAAAGTGAGACGAAGCGCAAACGCGCGCGTCGTGGCGCGCGCATGCCGAAATCCATCAAAAACCTTCGGCGTCGTCAGGATTTCAGAATCGAGACGCACGGTTAACTGCAACTGTCAAAACAGTTTGGGCCCGCGTTCTGTCGAGTACTTGCGGGGATCATCGTTTCCTCAACATTGTCAAAGAACACTTCCACTTTGGCCTCTCGCGCGCGCGTCGAAATCGTTCGACCGCCCCTGCGCGCGCGCTGTCGCAAGGACCCCTTGCAACAAATGGGGCGAAGTGCACGCGCGCGCGGTTGCGCCCGCGTGCCCAAATCATTATAAATATTCAAAAATCGAGCGTCCCGGACGCATAAAAAC